GCCTGGTGATGGGTATTGAGGAGGGCACATTCTGCATGGAGCACTAGGTGTTATGCACAAACAATGAATCATGGAACACTACATCAAAAACTAATGATTTAATGTATGGTGATTAACATAACAATAAAAAATAAAAATAAATAAAAGTGCACCAACGCCATGTGTGTGACAAGGGCACTGTCCACAAGCCGTAGAGTGAAGATAAGAGGTCAACGGCAAAGCAAATCTAGCCCAAAGAAGTGTAAAAGTCAGGGTACCATCCATCCAGTGGAATCCACTTATGTTGGCCGGTTGCCCAGCAAGTGAGGACAAGGACCCCTATAGGGAACTGTATCTTTCCGCTCTCCAGAGAAGAAATGGGGAAAGGCAACGGGCAGATTTCTAGAACCGTACTCTACAGATTTCTGCAACTGGGCAGGCCAGACCACCCAGTGATGGCTGTGGAGGAGGGAGTGGTGGTGAGGCAAACCGTCAGGGTGGGGGTCCCACAGTTGAGTTTTGTGCGGCCCCTGCCCCATCACGCTTGCTCAGTATGCTCGTGCATACCTGGACTTCCAGTTCCAGGTCTGTGACCAAGTTCTCAGCTTGGTAGATTGAGTCTGCCCTGGGCCCCGGCTCTGGCCAGACGTGCTGGGGAGGGGGCAGCTTCCCACCCCCTCCCCCTGCCATGCTGAGTACTCTCCCCCAAGGCTCTGTGTACACTAATCCGATGCCATCAGATACCACCCCTGGATGGCAGCCAAGATCATCGTCACATGTTTTTAAGGCCAGGGATGACTGATCAAGCTGGCTGTGGTAAAAAGCAGGCACTGTGGCCTTCCAATATCTTACTTTCCAGAAAGCTGGGAGGCATTATTCACCATGGCCTGGCTAATAAAGAGGCAGGCCAGCTAAAGGCTCTACTTCGCCTGGTGGACTGTGTTGGGGGGGGGAGTTTGCTAAATGGCAAACTGGCCTCCTCAACCAAGGAGGGGCCCTTGAACAATGGAGGAGGGCGAGCGTGAGCTCAGATCTGGGGTAGCAAGGGGATGAGCCTCTCAGGTACAACTCACATTTATTTCCTGGCGTTTTGCAGCTCTCCGCACCAGGAAGTTCATGGTACTTAAGAAAACAAAAGTGTCCATCTGGTCTTCAAAGCCCGAATGGTGAGGCTGGAGAAACCCAGGCTCTGGAGAGCCAATGACCATCTCTAGGACATGCTGTGGCTCAAAGGTACCATCATGGGGCCTCCGGAGCCCCTCGCATATGGACTGAACTCTGACCTGGGGTTCAGACCTTGGACTCTGCCGGAGTCACTTAATCTCTGAGCATCTACTGTCTCTTCTAGAAAACAGGGCCAAGGACCTGGTTGGAGGGCAGAGGCGCAGGGGTAGACCTCAAACTCTGATGGCTGCATGCAGCCCAGGCCCTCCTTGACCCCTCCCCTCCCCTCCGCTTCCTGCCCAGGGATATCTATGACCATGGAGGTCACCCTTCACTAGCATAGGCTGCATGTGGGGTGTGACCACAGGACCCTTCTAATTCTCCAAGTAGAATGACAGCTTTGTTCCAGTCCACACCTGGACATTTGGAGTCCAAACAATGGTCTTCTGCCTCTTACTCTGTTGGGGAGCTCCCCTTCTATGTCTTCTGACAATTCTGACACAGAACACTCCCAAAACGTTTTCTTATTGATTAGAACCCAAACTGTTGAGAGCTCGCTTACATTTCCCTGGGCCTTTGGGATACACTGGTGACCCTTCTCAAGCTGAGTCCGACATGGTTGGCCATGAGACAACATTTCTTGGCATGGTTCTATATAAAGGCTGGGCCCTCCGATCGATAAGACAAAGTTAGATGAGATCAGAACAGGTTAGTCCTGGGGACTGTGCCTCCTGGGGACCCAGCGTAAACACTGGGTGCTGGGTTTGGGGCAGGAAAAATGGCCTGAGTTGTCAAAGCGCTTAGTCACAGATATTAATGCCTTGAAAGCTCTGAGCGTCTCTGAGAAACAGGCAGGGCCAGCGTTAATGATTCTCCATTGCAGCGATAAAGAGACTGAGGGCCAGAGAGGGTAAGATACGTTAAATGGTGAGTCAGAGCTGTAACTCAGCCCCTTGATGCCTCGCTCACAGGACTCGAGGTTCTAATGGCATTTTTGCAAGAGCCTTCAAGTGAAGTTCAAGTGAAGCCTCCTCCAAAGGAAGACATCCTGGCAACTCCATTCTACGTGTTATTACATTCATGGAGAAACTGGACTGTTGGCCCGGTTCTATCGCTTTGGTCAGATCTCTGATCAGGGAGTAAATAAAAAGGAGGTGTTTTTGGTCTTCCCCAAATTCGCAGTTATCCAGAAGCTGCATTTTAGCATAGCTGGCAAACTGGAACCTGAGAAATTGGCTTTTGTGCCCTCCAGGAGTTTGGAGGAGTTTGTATTCTCATTTGCAGGAAGGTGGCATTTCTGGGAGGACCCGATCTGGGTAAGTTTTGCTTTCTAATGGCCAGACCATCTCTCCTTCCATAAAGCAGAGGCACAAACCAAATTACTGCCTGGGCCAGGCAGCTAAATCAAAACGCATAGTGGCTAGAGGAGTGTGGGGGGCTGGAGGAGGGCCAGGGCCTGGGGAAAGGCACCAGGCCTGCTTGGCCCCAGGTCACGGTGGCCAAGTGAGGACGAGGACACATCGCCATGTTGCCAGATTTCCAGACAAGGGCCCCCAAATCCAGATTTTCAGGCGAAATCGCCCTGTTTTTAAATGTTAGTAGCTAATTCCAGAATGTTTATGATATCACGCAGGCCACGCAAAAACTGGGGGCCCTCGGGCCACCCAGTCTGCAAACTTGGGGTGAAGAGACATCAAGAGAAGTGAACGGGGAGTTTTCAGTTGCGAAGACCAAAAAAGAAACACGAACACCCTCTGCTGCCATTAGAAATTTTCCTTAGAAAATCAGACGTTAGCGAATGTCCCTAGAAGTTCTATGGTTTTTGGGAAAAGGTTCCCTGGCAGGCCTCCTGGCCGGTGCTCATGTGGGACAGCGGTACTTACCTCACCTCCCCCCTCCCCCCAGGAAACAGGCCTCAGAGGTAATGGGTTCACAGATACTAGGGCAATGAATAAAAGAAGAGCTGAACAGCAAAGAAGTTTTCACATCTGATTTACGTTGCGGTGCTCTTTCACCCTCTCTGCACCCCCACCCCGGGCTGCAGGCCAGGCTCTAGAAGATGGCTCTTCCTTTCTGCCCCCCCCGGAGCCCCCGCCTGCCTGCCCATGCATTGTGCGGGCCCTCACCCAGGGGTCCTGAAAGTAAAGGGAAGTGCTGTTTGCCCCTGACCCCCCTCCGCGTCCGTTTCGGCCAAGGCCCCTCTGTGTTTACGAGGCTTTTGTGATGGCCAATGGCCAAGCCCCCCGAGGGATGCTGGGGCACAGGCCGCACACAGCACAGGGCAGCCAACTGGGATCCGGGGCACGCTGCTCCATACTTTGGGAGGCATTCGGTTTCCTTCTGAATGCACACGGCACAGGGTCATGGGCAGGTGCAGAGCTTGGAGAGAAAGCGAACTTGCCTGGGTAGCCTGGGTAGCCTGGGTAGCCTGGGACTGCTTCATGCAATGGAAGCCCACGTGATTGCTGAGCTCCTGTTTGCAGAGCTCCCCGCGCGGGCGGGCAGGGTGGAGACGCAGGCCCGCCGGACTCACCTTGGACCAGTCCCCGGTCTTCCACTCATAGCAGCCCGAGTAGTCCTCGCACGCCTCCTCTGCTTTGGGCCTCGTGGACGCATCGCATTTTCCTTGCGAGTTGGTGCACGTCACAGTTCGTTTTCGCGTCCCTTTGCCGCAGGTGGCCGAGCACTACAAGACACCGTTTGGATGTTTGATCCGGTCTGGTGCAGCTCAAGGTCATCAACGCCTATTAAGTCACAACAGTGTGCCAGCCCCAGGGCCGGGGACGCGAGGATGAGGATGCTGCTGGGCTTCTAGAGTCTGAAGCACATGGTCCCAGCTGTGACTCCAGCCAAGTGGCCAGTGACGGGGGGAGGGCCACAGGAGTGGGGAGAGCTCCAGGTACCAGAAGACCAAACTAGGAATTTAGTGGCCTGCTACCAGGTCCAAAAGACTGATGCAGTGGAGAAGTTCAAGGGGCAAATGCTGGTGGACCCTCGAGCAGAGCAGGGGACGGGGCCAGGGGAAGCCAGGTAAGGACACCCAGGCAAAGATGTCTGAGGCCCCTGACTCCTCCGAGCTGGCCTCTAGCTCCGTGCACGCTGCCTGGGCCAGCCTGGGGCAAAATGACAGGCTCAGGGTGGAACACGGGGAGATGCAAACCCAACCCACAGGTGACTTTCATGTTAGGCCGTCGGCAAGCTCTTGTAGAGAGCTACAGTGACTGTGTTAAGTGTGGATGCCAAGAGCATCACTGAGCAATGGTCCCTGTGGTAATTTACCTACTTCCCGGGAGACACTGCAAGAGAAAGTGTGGTGCGGGGACCCAAAGAGGGCCTGAGGAATGACAAATCATGTGCGAGCCCTGAGAATTCAAGATTCCCATGCCCTCAGGCAGCAAGACCCACAGAAGAAGGGGTGAGCGGTGGGGTGACAGCTGTGAACGGGGTGGACCTGCGGGGTGTATCTGGAGCCTGCTCCTGGCGTGCTCCCCCTGCACTCAGGGAGGGACCTCGCCGGGCTCCGAGATTGCTTAGCCACCTCAAAACAAAGCAGCAGGAAGCCCAGGCAGAGAAGACCTGTGACCTCGGGAGGATGGGACTGACTGTGCACGATCCGGCCAGCAAGAGGAGGTGACGCGTCCCGCAAACCCAGGGAGCTCTCTCTTATTTGCCGGGTACGGAAGCCCTGCCTGTCTCCACCATGGAAGCAAACATGTAACTTGCGGAGATGTTGGCCTGAAGGCTGTATTCCGCCAAGAGGTACAGACACAGTGAGCCCCAGGCTCCCAACAGCTGGGTCCTAGAGCTATGGCGGGGACAGCCCATGCGCTGTGGTGGCACAAAATGGAGCCCTCACAAGTCGAGCGTCTGCTTTCATACTTGCTTGATTTACCAGAAATATACAGCAGATATTCTTGAGCCACAGCAAACTTGATTTTTTTAAAAAGTTCCACTGTGTCCCCTGGGAAAATGCACCTACAGGACAAAAGTTGTTCTTTATAGTTCTATTATTAACATTTATCCCAAAATGTTATGTAGCTTTATTTTTCCGATGAGTTCAATTTAGCTCTCCGAGGCTTTTTTTTCTTTCTCTTTTTTTTTTCTGAGACTAACTTAGATTGGCTTGTTTTAGAAGAAATACACATACTTCAGAACTGGTTGTGGTGTCATCTGGGGGAGCTGGAGAACATGCGCATTTGGTCCTGTGTGCGGGTGAGGGGTCGGCTTTATAGGATCTTGGATGCCAAGGGGTCAGTCCAGAGCAGGCGTCACCGTCTTGGGCAGGATGGGTTGTGGCTGGGAGGGCCACTGCTGGGAGCCTGGGTTACCGAGTTGAAGGTCAATCTCTCTGCTTCTCTGCATGGTGATGCTCCCTGACCATTTCATTAGCTCTGCCTTGACCATTTGACTTGTGGGCTCCTCCCTGACACGCACCCACATCCACGCTCTTTCTTCAACTAGAAGCCTACTTACCACTTCTGCCAGACTTCCTGCATTGTCTTACTCTATTCTGCATTCCCTGTCCCTTTCCCTTGAATTTCAAACACTGTAATGTCTAGCCTGTTTCTTGACCAAACGCTGGCTCAGCCCTTCTGACCAGAAGGTGGGGCTTCCTCTGGAGGGACCTAGGACAGGAGACAGTCACTCTCTTTTGCTTCCTTCCTGGTATCTGCTCCTCATTCGAACAAAGCTGGGAAGAAGCTGGGGGGTAGACAGTATGGGTGATCAACACTGCTGGCTACATGTAAAGGCAGCCTCCTCAATAAAATAAATTTCTCTGCCACGAGAAATTTAAACCCACTTGCTTCCAGAAGAAGGAACATTAAAGGGGCTTCAGCACTGGGGCGCCTGGGTGGCTCCATCGGTTAAGCATCTGCTATCAGCTCAGGTCATGATCCTGGGGTCCTGGGATCGAGCCCCGTGGTGGGCTCCCTGCTCAGTGGGGGGTCTGCTTCTCCCTCTCCCTCTGCCCCTCCTCCTGCTTGTGCTCTCTCTCTCTCTCTCTCAAATAAATAAATAAAATTTTTAAAGGGGCTTCAGCATGTGGTGAAGCAGTAGAAATACCAGTTTGGTGAGCATCTTGTGAATGAGGGCAAGATTTGATTCCAAGTTGACTGTTCAGAAAGAGGCATTTGGCTCGAGCCTAGGGTGAGCCAGAAGGAGACTGATTGGTATGGATACTATTTCAGCATTAGGATCAGACACACACAGAGATAGAGATGTGAAATTAGAGAGATTTCTTTAAATCTTGCTTCAGTTGTCTCACATTTTCCAGTCTGGTGTTCTTTAATGCTATGGTGATAGTTGATAATGTCAGGCTTGCTTATTTTGGTAAGGACATTTTTTTTTTTCTATGAGAAAGAGTCTGAATGGAAAATTTATGGCTTTGATCTGATTAAAACATAAATCTTGTTTGGATCAAGAACCAGGTGATCAAGAACCTCAGGCTCAAGGTGGGTTGGCAGGGGTGGGGGTGGGGATGGGAGACTGCATGCCTGACCCTACCCCTCCAGCAAGTAGTCCCCCTCCCTAAAAGAGGTCCCTTGACTGTTCCACTTACAGTCCTAAGTACATATAAAAGATCAAAATTTTAAACTCTCTCTTTTCCCTAAAATATCATAAAGGGCAGGCTAAAGACTCAGGTCTTTAACGGGTACATGTCAAGATCTGTCTGAAAAGTAAACCCCATTTCAGAGTAGCCAAGGGCAAACTTTTCGTTCATTAAGAATGGGCTGAATACTTTCTTATTCAAAATAATTCCAACTGTTTGGCAATAAAAAAGGAACTTTAAAAATATTTTCCACACTGAAGAGTGTCTTGGATTTAGCCTTTCTGACTTTCCTAGAACACATTTGATGGAGGACCTGAGGGAAACTTGCCCTTTATTCAGCTTTTTATTTTATGGCCAAACAGTCAAAATATTAAAGCAAAGTCAATGCAAAGCCTTGAAGGATGATATTACCAAAGATAAAATATTTCCAGAATCAGTCTTTCAAGTTAAAACTTAAGGCTTAATTGACCTCTTTCCAAAATGTTTTATGGCATGAGATGTGTGACTCCAACTTGTACACTAAAAACTGTCCCTCCCAGTGTCTGCTTGCCTCTTACAATCCACAAAGACTGGCACAGAGTTCAAAGAAAGCCTTTGAAACCACCTTCCCAACTGATTGCACCAGAATTCAAATACATACATCAAAAGAAAATAAGAAGGTCAGTTGGTTAGTCAGTTGGTCTGTCTACCTACCTACCAACCTACCCCCCAACCCACCCACCCAACCATGCATCCATCCATCCATCCATCTACCCAACCAACCATCCATCCATCCATCCCTCCATCCATCCATCTTTACATGAGAATTTTCAAAGGAAATGGGACCGAACTGTGGTAAATATTGTCAAAAACATATATATGATCAAAAACACATTACCCATGTTTGTTTAGCCATACTGTCACCTCAGATGGAATTTAAGAATATGTGAGCTGGAGGGTATTATGTTGAGTGAAATAAGTCAAACAGAGAAAGATATGTATCATATGATCTCACTGATATGAGGAATTCTTAATTGTAGGAAACAAACTGAGGGTTGCTGGAGTGGGGGGTGGGGTGGGAGGGATGGGGTGACTGGGTGATAGACACTGGGGAGGGTATGTGCTCTGGTAAGCGCTGTGAATTGTGCAAGACTGTTGAATCTCAGATCTGTACCTCTGAAACAAATAATGCAATATATGTTAAGAAAAAAAAAAAAAGAAGAAGAAGAAGGTAGCGGGAGGGGAAGAATGAAGCGGGGGAAATCGGAGGGGTAGACGAACCATGAGAGACGATGGACTCTGAAAAACAAACAGGGTTCTGGAGGGGAGGGGGATGGGAGGATGGGTTAGCCTGGTGATGGGTATTGAGGAGGGCACATTCTGCATGGAGCACTGGGTGTTATGCACAAACAATGAATCATGGAACACTTCATCTAAAACTAATGATGTAATGTATGGGGATTAACATAAGAATAAAAAAAATAAATAAAAAGAATATGTGAGCTAGAACACATCTTTCTTAGTTATCTGGGGGCTGGCAAGCACTGTGATACTTGGGTTTGAGTCACAAATACCACAGAGGGAAAGGCACCATGTTGGGGTCCCTGTGGAGAAGGCAGCCCGGGCACCCACCTGTGACCACTCAGATGCCTCCCAGATGGACAGGCAGTCCTGGCCTTCGCAGCTCTGCACTGGTGCTGGCCGGGGGCCTGGGCAATAGAGGGGCCGTGTGGTGACGTGGGTGCCATTCTGCAGCTGGTATACGCAGGTCACCTCCCGATGCTGGATGCCCTTTTCACATGTCGCTGAGCAGGGGCTCCATGGGCCTGCCACCCACCTGTCCAGGAGGAGGAGAGACAGTGAGAGAGTAACTGGGTGGGGAGGCCAGCTTCCCTGGAGGGCCTTCCAGACACATCATGGCATCTTGGGCCTGTAACGTGAGGAAGGGAGATGGACGCAGAGAGCTCTGCAACTGACTTTCAAAATAATTCTGAAGTATTAGAGCAGAGGGAGTCCCATGAGTTGAGTGGGTCAATGGCTTATTCAAAACAGAAATCCTTCTGCACACAACACCTCTATGGCAGGTTGAATTATTGTTCCTGAGCGGTCGCTCTCCCTGTGGCAGGATTACATATCCCACCCACTGTCTATGCCATGCTTTGTTCAATGGGGTGTCAGTAGACATGAAGCTGGCCATGTCCCGGCAGAAGCTTTGAGTGTGATTATGTGGTTTGGCTCTGCTTCTCTCTGTTTCCTGCCCTCTGCCATGAGAATAGCAGGTCCCAACACAGGGGATGCTCTGACAGCTGAGCTCTGTCATAGCAGGACACTGCTGTCAGCCACTGAGATGCTGGGGTGGTCTGTCACCGCAACAAAACCTAACTGGTACATCCCTTGACAGAGGACGCCCTGGTACCACCTTGAACACACCAGGACCAGGGACTCCCTGATTTCCAAAGAGTGGAGGACTTCTTGGGTGGGGACTGTCACTCTTGAGGAGGCAACTCATGCGCTGGGATAAGACTGAGCTGGTGAAGGTGCTCCACTAAAATTTGGCCTACCTGCCTTCCATTTCAATGACCCCAATTCGACCAGGGTCTCGGTTGGCCTCAGGGTGTTGGAAAGAAGCTGAGCGGTTGGAAATCATGATTTCTCAGGACACAAATGGGGCTTTGAATGCCCTTTTGGGGACACAAAAGGACTCTCTCCTCCTTCAGTCCCTGCACGAGCCTCAGATCCTCTTAGCTCTGAGGAGCTCACCACTTGACGAAATGGCTGAATCCACTGATGGCTGGCTCTGATAAACATTCAGTTCTTCCTCATCAGTTGGAACAGTCCTAAGATCCTGAAACCAAATCTGATCATGCCATCCTACTGTTTAGAAACGTCAGTAGTGTCTTCCCACTGGCAGCGTTCTTGAGGAGATGCTGGGTGGTGCCAGGCCTCTCTTCATCTCCAGTCCTAGCTTACTTGCTCATTCATCCATCCCAGCATGGCACATTCACTGAGGGCCTCCCATGTGCCAGGCACTGTTCTAGGTTCTGATGATGAGGCAGGGAACAAAACAAAGCCTTGCCCTCTGAATCTTACTATCCTGATGGGGACAGACAGTAAACCAAGGAATGATATACAATAGAGTATATATAGTGTATATTATATATCATACATGAATAGAGAAGATGCCACATGGTGGTAAGTACTTTAGAGAAAAGTAAAGCAGTGTAGAGCAGAGCAGGGAGGAGGTGAGGGGTGAGCACATAAGGTGGCAGGGATGGCCCCACGGATAAGCTGACATGTGAGCAGAGCCTGGAAGGAAGCAAGAAAGTCAGTCATGTGGTTCCTTGGGAAAGGACTTTTGGGGAGAGGGCACAGTGGATGCAAAGGCCCTGGGGAAGAGTGTGCTGGCAGAGCAGAGGAGCAGCAAGGAGTCTGGTGTGGCTGGGGGAGGGGTGAACAGAGGGAGGGGCAGGGAGAGGAACATGAGAGAGGACAGGGTGAGATCCTACAGGCCCTGGCTGGCCACTGTGGCTCTTGTTTGAATAAGATGCAGTCCCAGAGGGTTTGGAGAGAGGATTGATGTGCCCCCCAGGCTTGGAGAGGGTCATTCTGGCTCTGGGCAGATACCAGTCTATAGGGCAGCAACAAGGAGACTAGGGAGGAGGCTACTGCACCAGTCCAGGTAGGAGATGAGGGTGGTTTGTACCAGCTGGGGGTGGTGGCAGTGGTTGGGCTAAATGTTGAGAAGATGGAGCTACCCAGGCCCCCTCCCTCCACCCCCATACTGTTCCTCCTTGTCCCTTAGGGCAAGCTCAGGCGACCTCCTCTGACTTCCCAGTCCCCTTGGTAGAGCCATCACTGTCCTCCATGCCCCCAGGGAATAACTGCAGAGAAGCTCCTCTTACCAGACCCCTTGCCTATGCTGTGGGATGGAAGTGACTGTGCCTACCCTGGGACAAGGGACATATCGCCTGTAAGCTGCTTACACCAACGCCTGGCACACCTAAGCCTGTATAACTCTTAGCAATTGTTCTTCTTCATCTCTTCAGTAGGAGATGATGAGGTCCCAGAGGTGAGCAAATCCTGCTCCCATTTCAGCACCTGCCAAGTGCTTGAACAACACTATCAGAACAAAACCAAATCCTACCCATTTCTCCTCATTCTGGTCTTTGGAGTAACATGATTGGCTTCTTAAATATTTGAAGATAGCTCTTTTGTTCCCCCAAAGCTTTCTCTTATCTTGATCAAAATAATTTGCATGTGGCAGATTCTGAATCCTTTCTGTTCTAATTCTCTCATCAGTCACTACTGTTCTCAAAATGGATTGCTTTGTCGTGGGCAAAATGGCCCAGATGTGGTCTGAAAGCAGCAGGAGAGAATGTGCTGGTTTTTTTCCCTCTTTAAAGGGAGGCTCTGGTTTCATTAAAGCAGCTCAGCTCTACACTATGTCTGTTTTTAAGCAAGCAGACTGCACCTAGTAGCCCCAACGACTTCTCTTATTTTTCTCCTGAACCGACTCTCAGCCAGATCTCCTTCGTCCTGACCTTTTGCCATTGACTTTGTGAATACAAATGTCAGGCTCTAGCTTGAGACCTGTTCAGTGCTCCTGCGTTGACCTCAACTGTGAGAAGAATTCTGTATCCCCCTCTTGTCTTTTTTTTTTTAAGATGCTATTTATTTATTTGCGAGAGAGAGCAAGCACAAGCAGTAGGCAGAGGGAGAAGCAGTTTCCCCACTGAGCAGGGAGCCCAATGCTGGACTTGATCCCAGGATGCTGGGATCGTGACCTGAGCCAAAGGCAGATGCTTAATGACTGAGCCACCCAGGCATCCCCCCCACTTCTCTTTTGTATTTTCTGTGCCTCCCAGGGGTCAAGCTGGGAAGCGGGACCTCTATGTCCTACTCATGGGAATGTCACCTGCCTGTGGGCGTGCATGCTGTTGGCCAGGGGGCACCAGCATCTCCAGCTCTGGACACAAAACCAGAGCATGGGCTCTAGGGAATATGCAAGTTGACTCTGGTCTACACAAAGGTCACATCTGGGCAGCTGAGGGGATGGGGAAGAGCTGGGAGAGGTTGAGCAGTCCTCCCTCAGACATCTCCTATCCCTCCTGTTCCATCACAGACTGGAAAAGTCAGACCCACGGGGATCAGCTTCCTGTAGAGCTGGGAGAGGTTGAGCAGTCCTCCCTCAGACATCTCCTATCCCTCCTGTTCCATCACAGACTGGAAAAGTCAGACCCACGGGGATCAGCTTCCTGTAGAGCTGGGAGGGGTTACCTTTCTTTCCTGTTCTTCTTTCCTTTGCCTCTGGTGTCTCCTGGGCCTTTGAGGTGCTTTGCAGAAGGATGACAGAAGGCAAAACAGCCCATGGATCCTACCTTCCTTTCCAGAAGAATCCTTTGACCCCCTGCAATGTCCCTCCTTGCCATTGCCTAGAGTCTGGCAGGAGAATGGGGGACAGAGCCCTAAGCACATGCAGACGTGCACGAAACTGATCTATGGTCTGCCCTGCTCCCTAAAGGGGGGAATTCTCTGTCTCTGGGAGCTGTGTAAAAGGGCTCCCCCTGCTCCCCTCCTTGAGGGCTAGTTACTGTCAGATTCAAAACAAGCCCTGTCTGAGGCCAAGGCAGACTCCCAAAACCACTGTGGTTCTCACGGACAACGTGATGGGGTGAGAAGGGGGCACGAATGCACTCCACACCCGCAAGTCCCACATGGGGCAGCTCAGGGCACCTTCCCAGCTCTCTGTCCCCTTGCCCTTCCTTCTCCCGCTCCAAATTCCCAGCTCCGCACAGGGTTGCAGACATACAGATACAAATACGGCACACCGCCTCAGGAGACAGACAACCAGCCAGCCAATCACCATCAGTGAACAAGGCTCCCTGCCCAGGCGGAGGAGAGCACAGCGCTGTGGTGGCATGGGGAGGCGCCTCACTCCATCTAGGGGTGAGTCTGGGGGAGGCGATGTCTGCGCAGACCCTTAAAGTACAAGCAGAGGTAACTGGAAATAAACTCGGCTGTTGCATATTGTTTTACTCAGGGGCCCTTTGTCATTCTAATACTTGATAGGTTTAAAAACAGTGATAGGAGTATTGAATCACTATACTGTACACTTGAAACTAATATTACACTGTATGTTAACTAACGGTTATTTATTTTTATTTTTTTAAAGATTTTATTTATTTGTGAGAGAGAGGAGAAAGACGAGAGAGAGAGAGAGAGAGAGAATGAACACGAGGTGGGGAGGGGCAGAGGGAGAGGGAGAAGCAGACTCCCTGCTGAGCAGGGAGCCCGACGTGGGGCTCAATCCCAGGACCCCGAGATCATGACCTGAGCCGAAGGCAGACTGAGCCACCCAGGTGCCCCCTAACTGGAATTTAAATAAAAACTTAAAATAAAAACAGTGATGGGAAAATATTTGGGTGCCCCTGTTCATGGCAGCATTATTCACGGTAACCAAAAGGCAAAAGCAAGCCTAGTGTCCGTTGGTGGATACATGGATAAACAAGATATGGTAAGTACGTACAACAGAATAGTACTCAGCCTTATAGAGGAAGGACCTCTTGTCCCAGGCTGCAGCATGGGTGACCCTGGAGGACATTATGCTGAGTGAAATAAGCCAGTCATGAAAGCACACGTCCTGAATGATTCCACTTAAGTGAGGCAACTGAAGGAGTTAGATTCACAGAGGCAGAAAGTAGAATGGGAGCTGCCAGGCTGGAAGGAATGGGGAGCTCATGTTTAATGGGTGCGGAGCCACACTTGCTCTTCCAAGAGGCAGACAGAGTTCTGGAGAGAGTCAGTAGTAATGAGTGCACAGCTCTGTGAACATACTTAATGCCACTGAACTGTAACTTAAAAATGGTTAAGGTGGTAAATTTCATGTGTATTTTACTACAATTTAATTAAAAAAAAAAGCGATGGTTAGAAACAGGGAGTAGATAGGTGAGAAAGGGACAAGGAAGTGAGGTGTTTCCCCAGCCCCCGGGCAGCAAGGATGAGACAGGAAACAAGGCTGGTGCTCAGCTCTGTGCAGCCACATTGTAGCCGTGGAGCATCCATGCAGACCGTCCTCACTGGCGCGGGCAGCCCCACCTGAGACGTGGGAGGAGCTGGCTAGAGGACCGATGCTGCCCCGCACACACAGGCTGCAGGTGATCGGAGCTGTTTTTCAGCTAGATTTTTTTTTTTCTTCTCCCGATCTTGACAAATACCTCAGCAAGGTATGGGGAGAAAAAAAAAAAAAATCACTTTCTGGAAACTGTGGTTTTGGTGGCTGAAAACCATTTCACCACAATGAGTACACAGCTGCAGGATGCCGGTCTATGGCGGGGGGATATCACCATGCAAGTAAACATTCGAGGAAAAACCCCATTAATTCCAAGTCCAGGAATTTGAGAAAGGAACTGCTGTTCCATAAAACAATTCATGTGACAATGACAACTGAAGTCTGATTTTTTTCTTTTTTTACTTGTGCCCCCTAGAAACCTTAACAGTGACGTGTACTAGCTAAGTTTGAGTTCGCAGATCTTCTTAAAAGCAGGAAAACTAATTCTTGAGGAAGCCACTGTTAACGCTTCTGTAGTTCAGGCCTCCCTTCCTTGGTTGCTCTGGAGTCATGAAGGACCGGATTCCTTTCCTGTCCAG